AGTAATGTAATAATTTAATTTTTATGAAATACTAATTCTATTCTTTAGAAATTATTAATTTTTAAGAAGTATTGATCTGTATTAATTTCAAGTATTGAATTTTGAGATAATATTAATTTTTTAAAAAATGTTAATTCTAAAGTGCTTTGTTAAATAGTGTGAAAATAAGTATTTTAGTAAGTAATGTGATAAATAGTATGAGAATAATAAGCTAATATAAAGAATTTTGATATCACAGTTACTTTTTTTTTTTTTTATAAATACTGATCTCAGTAGCTTTAGAAGATGATTATTTAATATATATATATATATATATATATGAGATATTTATTAATATAGAGATAAGATATAAGTATAAAATTTTTAATAATATAAAGAATAATACTTATAATACTTATTTAGTAATATCAAAAAACTAATTATATAAGATAATTATCATAAAAGTATTTATTACTATAAAAATGAAAAGAAAAGATATTTTTTACTCTTTAAACTTTGTTTTTTATAACTTTACAATTATAATTATTATAAATATTTTGTAGTAGTTGTTGTTTTTAATTTTAAAGTCTTTCTTATTTATTTCTTATTTATATCAATAAAATAGAATTAATTTTTATATTCTTTAAGTAAGCTCTTCTATTTTTACCGTATTTGACATTATTATATATATGATAACAGTTGATAATTAATGAATATACTGAGTTATAGCTTATAATTATTAATTATATGATTGACTTTATATTAAAAATATTTTCTGTTAGTGATATTTGCTCAAATTGAGTAATTTATCTATGATATATAATTATTCTCACTGTGAAAAATACTATAATTCTTGTTATCTTGTATATAAACTGTGCATCTGAGTGAGTATAGTGCATCTTTAGCTGCTATGTTAAAAAGATCTTTGCACTATTAGTATAATGATTGATTATTACTTATCTAGCATACTTTCTCTTCTGAGTTGAGTTAATTATTTATTCTTTAAGACTTGTTATTCTTTATAGAGTAAGTGAGATTATTAAAGATTTTATATTATTAAATCAAGCTACTATATCTAGTGGTAGTGTTGACAACTTTCTATTATACTGCTTATTTAGCAAAAGCTCATGCTACTATCTTAATTAATATTGTATATCATACTCAGTGTCAGAGTAAAGCTGTTAGTGCACTGATAGCATTCTTTGAAAATGAGAAGTTGTGATACCAAAACTCTTTATACCAGCTCTTTGTCCTCATACTGCTTACCATACTGTTTATCAAAGCACTTTAGGATCAGATCCTCTAGGTTCTCTCATTCACTTACTAAATTACTTATCTTCATACTGCTTATCAAAGCACTTTAGGATCAGCACCTTCTAAAGGATCAGCATCATTTTAAAATTCAGCATTCAAGATCAGCACAGATCAGCACTTCTCAAAAATCAGTTCTTTAGCACCAGTACTTCCTGGAAAATAGAATCAGCACTTCATGAAGATTCAGATCATTGCATTACTAATTCCCCATTTCATGGAAGATTAGAGATAAAACCTATTGCTACTCATTCATGTATATAAACACCTTGAATCCCCAAAGTCCCTTTGAGAAATTCAGTGGTTAACTACTATTCAATCCTATATATACATTTCATCTATCACTATCTTCTTCCCTCCATAGCGCTCACAGCGTCTATATATCTACTCTCTTACAACCTTAGTTATAGAGCTTCTCACGCTTCCTTTTGACACTTAGTTCATCCACCTTAGTGTCCTCACATTAGATTTCAGCTCATCATGGCATTTGAAAAAGTTTCATACTCAGCATTCATCCACTATGAGTGGGGGGTTGAATCCTCAGCTGGCAAGAAGAAGGTTAGCCATTTCTTGTATAGCTGCAACCCAGGAAGGCTGACCTCATTCATTTATGGCCAGAATCTATTGAACAAGAGATTCTTCCTCTATAAGACTAAGTTTCTGATTCTTTGAGGGAGTGTTAACGCGTGCTGTATGACCATGTATCTGATCACCTAGAGTGGAATTTGAAATATCATACAGCTTTGCTGCAGCTTGTACACTTGAAATTTGATCATTTTTAAATGCTTGAATGGCTAAAAAAAGCCTTCCTTCCTGAGTAGAGGCTTTATTTCTTTGTGTGGTTAATATTTTTGATAATAAAGATATTGTTCTGGGATGAAATGAAAAATGACTAACTTGCTTATGTGGCCGACTCACTTATCAATTACGTTAAGCAGTGTGAAATAAGCAATGTGAGATAAGCAGTATGAGGGCAAGAAGCTAGTATAAAAAGTCTTGGCATTATAGCTTAGTAAGAACTATCTCCTTGTCTGTCTTTTATTGCACAATTAGCGCGATTTCATTAGTGTATATTATACATGATATTATTGGCTAAATGATATAATATAGCATACTATTTGATATTAATATATTATATTAAGCTTAGTTTAATTAGATTATATAGATTTTTCAGCTTTGTTAATGTCATGAAATTTCTCTCAGCATGTAGTTTTCAAGCAAAAAGTCATATTCTTATATGCTAAGCATTCAGATTTTGATCTAAGAGCTTATTTACTCTTCTACTGATCTAGTTTTCATATATATTAATATCAGATATAAATTATAGGCTTTAGTAGAAAAATTTATTGATGAATAAACTTTGAATTTGATTATTTATAAGGTAGATAGATCATCATAAATCTTTAAATTAAATTTAAAGAGTTACTGATAAAGCTTTTCCCAGAAGCTTATATTAGTAAGAAGTCTAAAAACTTCTTACTACTTCATATATATATACTAAACTCTCTATGCATTGATAACAGCAGTATTCAGAATTCAATAATAGCAATATTCAGAATTCAATAAAAAATAGATAATTAGATTTAATAATTCACTCTATAAGAGCTATAGAAAGGTCTATACTGATTTGCTAGATTAACTCTAGTTATATTATGATTATAGTCATCAAAAATCTTTAAAGTTTAAAGATTTTTACTAGATTGATTCTCAAATACTGAATAGAATATATGAGTATTAATAGAGAGTTCTTTAGATTATCTTTAAAATCATTTAATAAAAATGTTCAAAGAATAAATAGTAGTAAAAGCTAATATTATATTATTATCTTGTCAAGCTATACAGAATATATTATTTACTTTTATAGTATATAGAGTATTTTATGAAATAGTCTTTAATTTTAAATGCTCTTAAAGCTCTATTAAAATAAAGAAAATCTGATTAAAGTAAGTAGTCTTATAAGCTTTACAGTTATGCTCTCAAAGTAGATAAAATAATTGAATAAAGATAAAGTAGTTATTTAAATAAATTGAATATGAAATAACTTATTAATTAGCTGACTCTTCAATAAAAAATTTAGTAGAAGCTTCATTAATAAAAAGAGCTTTAATAATAGAAGCTTTAATGATAAGAGTTTTAATAAAGAGTCTAGTATTTAATTTTTCAGTATAGAGTTTAGTATCTGATTTCTCAGTAGATATAATAATAAAAATTTTAAAAAGCTATTGAATTATATTTATAATTATAAATTTAGTTTTGATAATTTCTGAAAATTAAAATATAGATATTATATTCTATTAGTAAATAGATCAAGAAAATATTTAAAAATATTTATATTTTACTAGTTTAAAAATCTTATATCTATAAGAAATTGACTTAGCAAGCATCTTATATATATATTGACTTCAATCAAAGTATTTAATTATAATTTTATCTATAAAAATCTCTGAGTCAAAAATATAATATTTCTAGTATATATTATGAAAGTTAAAAGTTAAAGACTATATCTTATATTATTAATCTTTATTTTTAAAATCTAGCTGATAAACTTCTCAAGAATTAAATATATAGAAATAATACTTGATTTATTAAAATATTTCAAGATTATATAGAATTAAACTAAATAAATAGGAATTTTTCTCAGATTATTTCTTTAGTAATGATCAGTTTAACTGAATTTATAAATTCTTATACAGATAAAAGTTTTTAAAAAAACTTTTATTTTTTCTGAAATAGTCTTTTTCTATAAATATTACTGAATAAAAGTTTTTAATTTTTTAAATATTTTTAAAAATATAGAGAGTTTTGCAGAAACTTTTATAAAAATTTTCTCTTTATTATTTTTTTTCTTATTTTCTCAAAGCTTTTTGAAGTTTTATTATTAGTATCTTTATTATTTTTCTTCAATTTTATATAGATATTGATTGAATTAACAATATTATAAATAGAATCTTTAGAGAAGAATAAGGTAAATAAGGTATAGAGATTTTAATATTAATATCTAATGAAATATGAAGATTTAACAGCTGTGAACTAAGTTTTAAAGAAAGAAATTTGACTGATTCTAAAGATAATATTTTTATAATGACTTTTTTAATTGCTTATTTTCACTTTATAGAGATTCTATCAGACTTTTTCATAGATTTTAGAGAATATATTAGTTATTTGATATATAGATTAAGATCACAATTCTAGAAAATTATTTGAATTCTCTATAGTTTCTATATTTACAGATAAATAAAACTTTATAATAAACATGTAGGTAGATCTGAATTCTCAATGTGTAGATAGATTTGAATTCTCAACACATAGATAGATTTGAATTCTCAATATGTAGGTAGATTTGAATTCTCAATGTGTTTTCTGCTTTTATGAAAATTGTGAAAATGTGAATCTGTAGTGACCAATAGCAGCCCATACAAAATAATATGTGAACCTATTGGTTGAGACATGCTGACAAATGCCTTTATTTTACGCCTAGTGATACCACGCTAATTGTGCAACAAAAGACAGACGAGGGGATAGTGTTATATGATTTTATAAGATCTTTTTTTTACATGCTTCTGAGACTGCAAAAAAGATCTGAAATTGATAGATAAGTGAATTCTCTATAATATTTCAGTATTCATATTCAAATTGTATTACAGCAGCTAGAACAGCAGCAGTATATGATGAATATATAATAAACTGTAAAGAAAAAGAAGAGGTTCAACAAATTCTGTAAAAGGCGTTAGCCCCACTACCACTGTGCCTTAAAACAACTATTCGCACCTTTTATTCATGAGAGGGTTATCGCCTATTGTTTGTTCCTTTTGGGAGTTGGGGAATGGGTATGGAACTTATGGGGAACATTGGATGCGCAGATCTGCTTGAGTTTGTTTATTTAAACCATGTATCCCATTGCTACCGAGCCTCTATCACTAGCAAGCTTCACCTGTAGCCGAAGGGTAAGGTTAAGCCGAACAGGAGTGCCGTAAGCTTGATAACTAGGACAGGGGGTAGTGCCACTATCATGAGTAGTAAGAATGTCAATTAGAGGATCCTTATAACCAACAATAGCTACGGCTAAGGGGTCAGGTGTGTGTAGGGCTTGGGTGAGACAGGCACCTGAGAGGGTGTAGAGTTAGGTGGTTAAAGCTATGACAAGTATAGGAGTGGTGATGTATCAGATAAATGCAGACACAATGTGGGTAGAGTGAAGTAAAGATAGAGTAGATGAATGGAGAATATAAAATTGATTGTGATCAAGAAGATAGGCCTCTTGATCCTAGGGGTAATGAGCATGTTTATATACATGATGGAAACCTCTTGATAGATCTGATAGCCCATGGTATATAGTCATACCAGCCTACCAATCTACCACCCAGTAGACTTGGTAATGTCTGATAGATAGTCATACCAGCCTACCAATCTACCAATCACATGATCATCTCTTTAGGTTAGTCCTGGAACCCAGGGTTATTCTGTCTGAAACCCTAGTTCCTTTATCCTCTGCAATTCTTATCCAATGATCCCTGGGAGTCTCCTGTTGGTTCACAACACCCATGCTATTCAGCCATACAAGCTATCGTTTAGTAGTATTATTCAGCCATGGAATCATCTCTTTCTTTCCTCCTCTAGCAAACCCTTGTTAATAGATCCACTACTTGGGTGCATCCTTCTATGCTTCAACCAGTATTCCACCATCAATTTGTAGTCTTATGGGGTGTTGTTGTTCTATGGCTCCAGTATACCTAGAGGATCTGCTTTGATTCTTTAGAAACTGGTAGGTGACCATCTGTCTGCTATTTAATGGGTTGTCTTTAAGAAACAAGCACATACATCCCTAGACAGTGGGAAACAGAACTTCTCCGCACTTAACAGTAAATATGCCCCTTTTCAAGATCAACTAATGTGAATAGTAAATTGAGATCATCATCTTAATTTTCTAAAAATTACTATTAGATCATCACAGGAGAAACAGAAGAGAGTATCACTCTATAGATAAATATACTAATTCAGAGTGAGTTGCCTAAATCTTATTCAGTTGTATACAGTTTTCACTGATTATTGATGTGCTACTCCTGAGTCCCAACACTGCGGTCAACCTCCGTCACGGCCTTCGAGATGCGGAGGATGCTCTCAAGCTCCTCCCTCGGGATTCTCCTCATCCCACACTCAGTGGCTACACTGAATTCCCTGTGGATGACCGACTGCGCAGCCCTAATTCTCCGCCGAGTCCCTTCCATGTCGTCTGGATGCACCAGTCCCAGGTAAAGACGCGTATCTTCGCCAGCCTGTAGATCTCTCAGCGGATCAAAATATGCCACGTCATCTCGACTCTTCGGAACTGGCATATGTAGCCAGCTCACTGGGCGCTTGACCCGCTCGAGAATACAGTTTGCAAGGTCCACCAAGGTCCCCAGGGTATCGGGCTCCATAAAATGCTTGTGATAAGAGGTACATTCAGCGACAAGCACCGACACCTGCTGCGCGACGCACAATTGAGATACAGTGGTGATATATGACCGACCCAAATTTTCTGCCCCGCGCCCCTCCAGCTTTTCGACCCCGCGAAGACCCCGAAGAACAGACGTGGACATACAGCTTCAAGGATAGCACGGGCAGGGTGATTACACGGCATGGGACGCAGATGCATCTGGAAGGTTCCCTAACAATATGCAGCTATGGAAAGATGAAATACATCATGAAGACTGCAAATTACAAGAAATAGTCTCTCATCAACTGTTAGTAAAAAAATACACATCATACTGACTTGGGAGTTTATTTTATCTTCATCTGATGGTGACCACATTCCATCATATTGTGGTGTTGCCAAGACTTGCAGATCAGCTTACGTCATAGAAAGTACTAGAAGTTCCATTCATTCAAGTACGCTTGGGACTGCAACAGTTCAATATTCCATGAAATTCCAATCTAGAGATCAGTCACACATCTGTTACACTAATACAAGCAATTTCCAACCCCGAAATACATTTACTAACAAGGAAACCATCACCAACAGCCGGCGGTCAATCATAGCATGCCGATCAATCGTCATGTATATGCTCTCATATTATCTAGCGCTCCCGCGTCATGGAAGTCCTGATCGAAGTCTTCGGCGCATTTCAGAGCTGTCTCGATAGGCGTGGTGGTGATCGCCCCTCCCTTAGCCAGTGCAAACGTGGCTCGGGCAATGTTCTTGATCTGGATTGCTATGTCAGCCACCGCACATGTAATGGATGTTGATTGCTTACCTGTCGCCCATTTGAGTTTTTATTCATCAGTTTCTCCAACTCCTTTCTCGAGATTTTTGCACCAGCATTGCTCAATTGTTTGTTCCACACTCGGGATTTGGCTTCCCAACTCAGGCATTCATATTTTATACTGACGTGTATCCGACTTTGCATTGCCGGGTCCAGCGTGGTGTGCCGGTTGGTAGTAAGGAACGTGATCCCTTCGAAATACTCGAGCGAACGGAGAAACACAGAGACGAGAGCGTTGTGATGCAGGCCGTTGACGCTGCGTTCGCTCAGAAAGACATCAGCTTCGTCTAGAAGCAATATCGCATCCCAGCGACGGACAAGGTCAAGGACTCGAGACAGATGTTCTTCCAGATCATCTGCTTTGATTCCGAAATCGCCAGCGCATGCCTATTGCGATTAGAACGAGATCGCACATTGGGGGCCAAGGGGCAAACCGAGTAGAGTGGCCTTCTCAGGAGATCCGCAGTGCTCTCCGCTGTCAAGGTTTTCCCATCTCCAGGAGGCCCGCTGTGAAATGCCAGAGTTAACTGGATGATCCGGCAAGACAGCTTTCTGGCAACTTACTACAACAAGAATATGAGGCCTCTCCCTTTTCCGACGACGATGTCATCGAAGGACGATATCTCCGAGCCAGGCCTGTAGCTCTCCACCATCATCTGGATCATGATTTTCTTTTCTTTAGGGATCTCCAAGTGATCGAACGAGGATAGCTGGCTCCAGTCGATGGGACGGATATTTGAAATGGCGAATTCCGCTGTTCTTATTTCACATTAGCGCAGCTAAAGTATTGGGAAAGTGTTTGGCACTGACCCCACACCCTTTTGCTGAGACTGAAGCCCAGGACCATGGGGCTGCAGAGGATGTACTCCTTGCCTGTCATGTTCTTGGCATCTAGATTTAGAGGCTTCACCGTCTTCTGGTCTTTCTCTTTTCATATCCACTGTCAGAAAATATAATAAAACCGCCTGTGCTCTCTTCCTTTACCCGTGAGAATCCGTAGTTCGGGTTCTTTTCTTAAAAGCTAAGGCATCAACCATCATCCGGCCAGCCACGTGGAACTTGAATGGGCCTTTATTCGTCTTGAGATGGGCAAGACCTTTATATTCGCTGTAGGCGACGCCATAAGGCCCTTGAACTTGCGGCCTCGCTCAGAGAGCTCAACCTCGATTTTGGCTTTGCGATTATGAAATTTCAGAGGGAAGGCCCCCAGGTCGGATATCTTTCTAGCGGATCGAAATTTCGGGATCTGAAGCACCGTTGTCACCTCACCGAATACCTTTCCGTCGTAGTCGAGCGACCGATATTCAATCTCGAAGTGATCCCCTTGGGGGGCTCAATACGAGTTCACCCGAGTCATAAACGAAACACCGAGGCTGCTCGGAACATGGATCAACCATAAAGATAAGCTCATTTGGCTTGAACATTGCCCAGAGGAGCTCAAAAGTAATCTCTTGATGGTCCAACAGGGAGTTTAAGCGATCCCTCAACGGAGAGAAGTGTCTTTTCAAGAATTCAGTAAGCAGGTAAAGATGTTTTCCAGCAGTCGAATCGGCTTCAAGGGTTTTGTATAAATCCTCGAGCTCCGGTAGAAATTGGAAGAGGACGTCAACCGGCACCTGTCGATGTTAGACCGCTGCCCCTGCGGGAGTTATGGGTTGATGGTTTACCGATGGCTTATCTTCCCGCAAACTGACAGCCCTTACATCTAGCAACACACGTCGAAGGATATCCACAAGTTCGGGCGATTTATAGTCAAGGTAGGTCTTGATCTCGTTTGTATTGCGGTCTTGAAGAAGTCAGATCCTGTTCTTTGATCCATATGATTACTACCAATGTCGGCGTCGATTGACGAATACATATTCTTTGTATTTGTCGCACGGGTCCGACGGGTCCACGACATCTTTCACAATCTCGTAAAGATGCTGCTTCTTGTTCCAGCTGGGGAAGGGTCAGCTCGGTCGTCTCTAAGATTGGACTGAGCTTACATTTCATTCACGGTTGTGTACTCCACTTTTGATGCTCGGGCCATTTGGTCGATTCATTCTCGTTCGCTTCTGTGTCTAGTTCGGCGGTTGGGCCAGGAGCACCAGACTTTGTAGTAGATTGTGAAGGGCCCGATGATTCTTTCATTCGGAGGACCTCCACCAGAATGTCCTTGAGCTCTTCCCTGGTTACGAAGCTGGGAACGCAAGGATTACTGTAGTTGGGGGATGGCGTTGAGGAGGGAGAGGAATGGGGGCGTTCGGGGAAGACTTGGGGATTGGGCTTCATCGTGGCGTGGTTGAAATGTTAGAATTGTCTTATTGGGGTTGGGATTAGGATTGGGATTGATCCTGTTGAATGTTTGTCTGTGCCTCAGGATTCGGGAGGCATCTTGCTCCCTTTTATGTTCCTGTGAACGGAAGTACTCCATTCTCAATTGCTGCCAACTTCTCTTCGCTCGCATAGGATTGTTCTGCATCATGCAGCTATGCTCTTTGCTCACTTCTTAGCCGTGTACAAGGATCAGGGCTGATTGGTGTCAACGATGGCTTCAACTGACAATAGTTTGGTAACGCCGCAAGCAATGTGTATTAGCTAGGTAGCCCGTTAAAACTCTAGTGAAGTTAGACTGTATTTTCATGGTAATACAACTATAAATCAAAGGTATATATATTGTAATTTCAATGGAATTCTATTGGATTTTCATGATAAATAGCTCATTCTCAAGGAATCAGGGTGACTAATAAGAGGCCCCAAGCGGCGAAGTTAAGTTGTGATAATAGTCTCGGAAGTTTATTTCTCCGTTAGCGTCATGAGCTACGTTATGAAGCTCATAAGGCATTTCGTCATTTAGGGCCTTCATTGTTGAAATTCAAGCTTTTGAGACACTCTTTGGCAAGCATTGCACTAATATAAGTACAAAACGATGATTCGTGGGCTTGGGCTCACTCCGTGTGTTGTTACTCCATCTTCGGAGCGCAACCTTGGAATATGCAGAACCATGTGACAAAGCAACTGTTAAAAGCGCTCATTTATTCAAAGAGGGGTTATCTCAACTTTCATTTTTTATTATCCTCAGCTTTTTACCCTTGTGTCAGGTAAAAAAAAAAAAACTTGTTTCTCCTTAGCAAAAGGACGCTCTTGATCAGATGTATCCTCAGCACAAGGTTCTCCTTCTCTTCTGTTCTTTGAACTCAGAAGGTATTTCCCAATGTTTCACTCACGAGAACCGATGTAGAGAGTTCATAGTCAAGATGAACAATGGACGCAGAATTCCACCTAACTCATTACAAGGCCGATACAGGACACAGAACCCTGCATCTGGGATAAATAAGATTCATCATTATTATTACTCTTTTAGAAGTTTTGTAAATCACACCCGGGCCCGGCTGTCTGCCGCTCCAAAGGTAAAAAGTACACCCGGTGAGTCCCTAGGCAATTGTTCACATATTGATCAATATCTTTGATTCAGCTCTTTTAGTAGTATCTTGCCTTCACTAGCAATTATAGCTTTTTCTTCTCAGAATATGTTGTAGATAACTACTCATAAATCTCTTTTAGAAGATATGCTCAGAGAGTAGAATCTTTCTCAATTGATATCACTAAACACTTTTCAAAATATAAAAGTTCATCTATCAGCTCTCAGTGCTGTTCTCTCTGTTGTACTTTTTCATGTTCTGATCTCAGTGATTCTACTTCTTTGTTTTTTATCTTGACTTCACCAAGAACGCGTGTATCTATACCCAAAGTCTTAACTTTAATAGATTTTTTGATGATCTTTGAGTTCAATCTCTTCAGCTTGAGAAATAGTTATATTTAAGTACTTTTACTATCTTTCTAAATCTCTGGCTGACTTAGCATGTCTGCTAATATACTCTAACACCCCAGCTGATACTGAATTAGAAAGTAGAATTAGGAGAGAAACTCTGTCCATTGTGCTTGTCTAGTATTGAGATTCTTAGTTGTCATGAAATACTTAATAGCTTTATGATCAGTTAAGATCTTGAATCTTTCTGTTCTATGAAGGCTTTTCAGCTTAATACATCATTCTGTCAGTGCTTTCACAATTGCTAGTATCTTCTTGTTATAAATCTCATAATTTCTCTCTGCTTCACTCATTGAAGCAGAATAGAATACAACTAAATGTCACTGCTCATTCTCATATAACTGAGATAGGATATCAGCTATAGTATCATCTGAGACATCAGTCTTCATCTGAGTCTCTCAATTTAAGTCATAATGACAGAGCATAGAGGGTTCAGACAGAGCTCTCTTCATTTGATCAAAAGTACACTGGCAGATTTTATTACAATTAAAAGATTAATTCTTTCAAGTGAGCTTAAATAGTAGTTTCACAATCTGACTATAATTCTTGATAAAATGCCTATAGAAGTTGTAGAATTCTAAGAAAGATTAACTTCCTTGACTATACTAGGCATTGTTCATCTTGATATCACTGTAATCTTTTCTGAGTCCACTTTGATCCCTTGATCAGTGATAATAAAACTCAAGTACTTTGTCTATTAGACATAAAACTCACATTTTAAGATACTTGTCTGTAGTTCAGCTTCTCATAATCTAGTCAACATCTTCTTGATATAGTTCTTATATTCTTTCAAGGTTTTGCTGTAGATAAGTAGGTCATCCACAAAGGCAGTCATGAACTAATTCAAGTAGTTAAAGAAGATAGTATTCATAAAGTATTGAAAGATCACTGAACTATTGCTTAGGTTAAAGAGCATGATCTTATACTTATAGATCTCATAACATATTCTAAAGACAGTCAGATCTTCACTTTTAAAGTGCATATATATTTGATAGAAGCCTTGATGAATGTTTAATTTAGTATAGAACTTGACTTCATATAATCACTTCATTAGCTCATCAACTAGTAGAATTGAATATCAATTCTTTTTTAAGATTGTATTAAACTAGTGATAGTCTACACAGAACTTCAGCTTGCTTGCAGTATGAGCTATAAGAATTGAAGAAGCAAATAAAAAAGTCACAGATGAGATAAAGTCCTTTTCTTGATTAATCTTAAAATACTGCTTAATAGTCTCAAGTTTCTTCAAGCTCATTCTATATAGTGATATATGATTAATAGCTTTATTCAGATTAACTCTTTTCTTAATCTCAATCTTATAGTTTACTTTCTTTCAGAAGAGTAGTAATTGATCAGAAATAGTTTTTAAAAAATATCATAAAATTTTTTATAATCTGCTAATAGTTATTCATTAATTATCTATTTATTTTTCAGTTCTATATCAACAATGATCTTCTTTTTTTCAATGATTCTATCTATCTCACAGAGGCTTAAAATAAAGGCCTCTGACTTCTTACTTCTTTCATGATGATAAAAGATTACACTTTCAATAAATGTTATTCTTTGCTGTTTATCTGATTCATTTGTTCATTGAGTCTTCATAAGTCTTTCAGTAACTTTCTACTTAAATTCTTTATTAATAAGTTTATTATAGTGATCTGCATCTTGTTGATGATCTGATCTCACTACTAGTTTCTTTAGAATTTTTCTTGAGATCATTACATTATATTCTTCTAATATTTCATTCTCAATTATCTATGTGCTTGGTTAAACTAAATATTAATTCTTTATATTTAGTTATATTTCCTGCTTTGCCAGTCAGAACTATTTTAGAATCATATCAGTACTTCTCAGATTCACTATTAGCATCAGTGTGTTGAGAAATTTTCAGTCATATATTCACAGATAAAAGGAGATAATTTCTGTAATTAAGGTTTTTTTTTATTCATTGAATCCCATGACCTGGTGATCTTTTATCAGCTTTTCAGAGTTTGTCTTTAAGGCTTTGGCACATTTGCATACAAAGCTTATCTCAATAAAAATATAGTAGTTTGATCCAGAATCTACTAGTGCTTTTGTAGAAATAGCACATTCATTAAAAGCTACTTTGATATATATAGTAAAAGGATTCTTACTCATTAACTGATTTATATTCAAAGTTCCTAGTACAACTATTTTATTTGAGAAGGAGGCTTTTCTCAGATTTAATCTTTTTCTGAGTTGATGACAGCAGTCTTAGTATTCAGTTCCTTTAGTTCTTTCTCTTGCTTATATAGGTAATTTTAAGCTATATGATCTTTGCTTTGATAATTAAAGTATTTTACATTCTTTTTTCAATCTTTGATTGTCTATGCTAGTATAATTAGAGTTAATTCACAGTTCTAAGATGTGAGAGTTTTCTCATAAATATTTCAGATCATTGAAGTTCTTTCACAGCTGAGCAGTCTTCAGTTGTGATAACCTGGTATACCTTTAATATAGTGAGCAGCCTATAAGGGGTTGAACCCCTAGATTTGCTCTGGCTGGCTGACTCAGCCTAGCCATCATTTGCACATGCGCATGTGATCACGCTATGCAAGCTTGCTTAAGCTCAAGTTCTCATCTCATTCTTTTCTTCCCTTTCTCAAGCAATTAGTTCTTATTATATAGGAGGACTAGTCTCTAGTTCTTAGAGCTTAACCCTTTACATTATGAATTGCTTCACTTCTTTCATTGATAGGCCACTGAGAGTCTTAATTCTGTATCATGAAGCTCAGCAAACATGCTGACATATGATAGACTATTGAAAGTCTTAAATCCTGTATCATGAAGTTCAGTGATAGCACTGGTATATGAATAGACTGGGTTAGCAATTGTGCTAACAAATGAATGAGCAACATTGAAAATGTCTAGCTGAATGAGATAAAGCAATAGACTTGTACAATAAATACACAAATGGATCAACATAAAGCAATGAGCAGAGATGCTCTCAGCAGCTTTGAACAACAATGAATGATCTTTTTTCAACAGCAGGAACAGGTCCAGCATGAGAATAGAGATTTAATAGCAGCTCAGCTAGCTGAAATAGCTAATCTACAATAAGCTTTGAACACTCTGACATCAACTCTCTCTCAATCAAACTCATAATCACTCATTGCAATCAGAAGATCAAAGACCAAGCTATCAGACTGCAAGAAGTATGATGGTTCTAATCTGAAGCACTACTCTCAGTGAAAGCTAAAGCTTCAATCAAAACTTAAGGTCAATGGAAAAGCTTTATATAATAATAAGGAATGTGCTTGATATGTGTACTTGAGACTGAAAGGAATGGCAGCAGCTCAAGTTTACCTTTGAGTTGAGAATAATAAGAACAAGATCAACTTCACAGTAGAGAGCTTACTAAAGCAGACACACATGCTCTTTAGTGATTCTGCATGACAGGAAAAGACTATGCAAAAGCTCAACAATCTATGACAGAGTAGAA